TAATATAATATAATATAAACTTACTCAACTCAATAACTTATATTCAACATGAATTTTTACTGATCTAACTATCGAATTAAAAAAAAAATTAATCAATAGATTAAGTCTACAATTTTTTAAAAAATTTAAAAAGTATTTAAATTACCATTTTATTAATTCAAATTGATGTGGATAATCAAATAAATTTACTCTTAAAATAAGTAGATTTTTTCTCTCCTCTCTTCCACTCACTCTCTTTTTCTATATATAGTAACTATAACATTGACATGAAGTATCTATCGTCATAAGCAATAATTAAATTTTCGTAAAAAATCATGAATAAACAAAAAATAAGTATTTTTTCTTAATATATTTTATTTTATATCTAAGATTAGGAGTATGAACTTAGATAATTTAATTAAAAGATATGACAATATTGATTACTTTACGATATATTATGATTAAAAAATAAAGCAGATAATGCATAAAATTAGATATTAAAATTATTGATACTGCACTCATATTTAATCAAAACCTTAATTCGTAATTAGGTCCGAAGCCCTAACCCAAATTAACAAAAGATGTTACTGGTGCACTGCCCTTCGCCAACCCAAATTAACAAAAGTTTTGTTATTTGGTGACACTGCCCTTCACCCGCAATTGATGGAAAAGTTTAATTATTATTTTTTTATAATTGTTATTGATGTGAAATATTTAATTATATTTTTTATTTATAAAATTTAAGTATAAAATCTTATTTATAGAGATCAAATAATGTATATATGTATATTCTAGACACTATATGTATACACTTGTTCTTTTCTGTCCGGTTTCAAGTGTACAGTGTAGTGTGTAGTGACCAGCCGGGTCGTTACACAAAATTATTTTTTATTTTCAATTGACCAAGAAATGAGCAGGCAAGAAATCAACCAGTGGAACTATTAAGGACTGAAGGGAAATAAAATAGTAATTAAGCTGAAAATGAAGTGACATTGTAGAAATTTTTGCGTTTGAGTCTATCACCCCATGCGTGTACAATGGGTACCAGAAATTAAAGATTTTGCATGCATTATGCAATTGCAACTTGCAAGCATGTAATTCTAATCAATAAATAAATAAAAGTTGATTGAGACTTGCATGATTAGCCATGTATGGCTAACCTTCGTAGATATCCGTATTTCATACATGACATCTCATATGGTTCTTCTTCTTGGTACCTTATTATTTTTTTTTCTCATATCGGTATATTTTTTAGAGATTGTTTTATTCAATATTAAATGTAAATATTATCCAATTAGATTATCATTTAATAATCTTTATGTTTGTCCTTAGAATTATTTTATCACTATAATAAAATTTATTATTATCGAAAATTATTTAATGATAATAAATTAATTGTCTCTATTTTATTATCTAATAAAAATATTAATGACTAATATATAATAGTCACTAAAAATATATTTATATCACACCAAAATTTATTATTAGTAACAATTATTTATTGAAAAAACTTAAGTCTCGTATCAACGAAAAATAAAATAATTAAAGATTATATAAGTAGTTGATAATTCTCACTTTAAAAGTTTGTTTTGTAAGGTTGAGTTAGACCTATTATTAACCATTACCAAACTCAATAGTGTTAACATCCTAAATTTCAAATACAATATTATCAATTTATTATTATATTATTCTTAAAATAGAAGTGTAAATTTTTAATTATTATATATTTTAAAAACAAATAGAGAATAAGTACAGTATTTATAATTCTAATACATTAAAATTTTTATTATCAAATTTTCAGATACTAAAATGAAATTATATAATATTTATTCTCAATTTATTATCATTATTTTTTAAAATAATAGTATAAATTTCTAATTATCATTTTAAAAAAAAATTGAGTACAATGTTTTTTTTAATACATTACAACTTTTATAATAATATTTTTAGTAAAATTAAAATGGAAATATATAA